GGGGGGGGGTATTTATTTATTTTAACCTTATACTGTATTAGCAATAAAATAAAATATCAACTTATTTCTAAAGTTTCACTTTTTACACATACATAGTAACTGTTCTTTATGAGATAATCCATACTAATACTGTGTGGACTACTTTCATTAAGATGCAATACAACTATACTTATGCATATAAATCCCTTTAGTGTTTATATAATGTGTGTAAATTGGTTATGGATGTTAGATTTCTGTCTTCTGCAGTAGTATGTGTGCATCATTTCCTTACATTGAGTTTGATCTCTGTCAAAGCAGTCCTTGATTTTAACTTTTGAAACAGCTTTAAAGCGCGCTTCTTATTTTACATCCTTCCTTTCAAGAAGGTGGCTGTAGCCATGGATTATTGCAGGTTTTTTCACTGCACGGTGACTCACTCCAAAATTTTTCTCAACAATACTACACCTTATAAAGGCGCCAGAAAGAAAAAAGGTGGGGGGGGGAGCAGAAGCAATACTACTGAATAATCCAGCAAGGCTGATAATTCACATATACCTTTTCACTGTTGGCATATGTATGCACACTCATGACACCAGCTACATTTTTCTTTGCAGTTTTGTGTGTGTGTGTGTGTGTGTGTGTGTGTTTGTGTGCGCGCGTGTGCGCACGCGCCACCTGCACGTGCAAAAATATATAAACAGCATACTTTTTTATGGCTGGTATATTACACTGGCACATATCCAGCACCAAATTCAGTTTTCTCCTAATGGCACAGTCTCAGCCTTAAGAGAGATTCAAAGGGCAAAAGATGGCAGCAGAGAAAGTGGAATTTACATGTAGAATGCATAACTTTGACTCTTAAGTAGGCGCTCCTTTTAGATTCGTCATTACTCCATTTGCACATTACTGGGTGGCCTGTGGCCTGCTCAACACACCACACATACATACAGACACACATCCACGCTTACTTTGCAAGTCCTGCTTTCCTCTATTCAAAAAAAGTTATAGCAGTATTTTAGGAGCACTCTACAGAGGAGTTTGCACTGACCTTGGATGCCCTGGGAACAACATACTGGTTGATGAAGGCATGGTAGAGTCCCACGTGACAGCTTAACAGACAAGCTTAAGCTTGTTGTAGATTGTCCTCATGACAAAATTTTTGCAGCTGTGTGTTCCTGAAATAACTTGCAAATGGTCATTTCCATGATTCTGTCAGCTAGCAAGTCTAATAAGTTTGAAGTTTTTCTTTTTCTCTCTTAAAGAACAAGGCCTGTTAACAGAAAAAGACAATCCCCTTGATGTCAAGACTTACTTACAAAAAGACTACAAGGTGCCAAGACAATCCCCTTGATGTCAAGACTTACAAAAAGACTACAAGGTGCCGGGAGGGACGGGAGGCAGGGAAAACAAGTACATTGATGGCTGGTTAAGGTCTAACACTAAATCGAGTTTGTGAAGAAAAAAGGACCCATCCCAAATATACTGAAAAGGAGCTGCTGGTAGAGGTGATCACTACCAGAGACGCGCTGCAGTATACAGGGTGCCAGGTTTCTAAAGATGGCCTTAAGAGGGTCCTTCACACCAGATTTGAGCCTCACCATGAAACTTGGGTCACTTACCAA